CAATACCGGATTCAGAGCCCGACAACTCATCACGACTGGAAATAAGGATACAACCATGTTGCTTCCTTTATCATCACTGTTGGGTTTTTGTAAAGATATTGATACGGTATTCATGGGAGTCAAGCATACACTCAATCTTACTAGAGAATCAGCAGCCAACTACATTCACAGAGTAAATGGTGTTGATCCAGGAAGGTTTGACATCAAACATCTTTCTTTGTGGATACCAAAGGTGAGACCATCACTCCAACTAGCTAGTAAGATCGAAAGTAAGTTGGTTAAGTCCACCCTCCGAGATCTGTACTTCGAGCAAGTCCGGGTTTATAGAAATCAGTATGGATCAACGGAGACAAACCCATCCTGGAGAGTGACTACTCACAGCAATGAGGAACTCCCAACTCATATCTTCTTTGCCATCCAAGCAGCCAATCGGAGTGGGAATCAAGAACAGAACAACCAGGTTTTCGACAATGCTGACCTCAGAAGCTTATCTGTGTACATCAACAGCGATAGATTCCCAGAACGTGATTTGGAAATGAATTTCAGTCCAGCTACTCGGAATTATACAAGAGCATACATGCTTTTCCAAGAAGCCATCCAAAAATATGCTGACACAGACAGTGGAAGTCAGGTAAGTGTGGAGGATTTTGCCTCTTTGTACACCATCATTCATGTAGATGTGAGTAAGCATAAGGAGAAGCTGAGGAACAGCTCTGCTGATATCGAACTTCGATGGAGACTTGGAAAACCGTTTGAGTTTCCCACTGGTACAGCTGCTTCTTACCAAACCATCTGTTTGATTCTCTCCGAACGTCATCTCAAACTCAATGGTATGAATGGCAAAATGAGTGTTGTGGTGTAAGAAAAAAGATAATAGTAGATAGGAACCATGAATGAGTTGGAAAAGGACATTGAGATTTTATTAACAAAGGAACTAACACAGAAGAAAGGTGGTAGTATCGGTTCTGTGATCGGAAGATTGGTTGGGAAGATATCTCCACTTGTGATCAAGCATGCTCCCAACATCCTTGGTACACTTGGACTGGCTGGTATTTCTGGTGCTATTTCTGGAAGCACACACAGAGCCACAGCTGGTCGGGGGATTGGTCAGTATGTAGAATATGGATTGATGCTAACTCCGAACCAAAAGAAGAAACTTGGTAGTGCCCAGGATGGAATCACACTCCGGTTAACAAAAAATCAGTTATCCGGAAATGATATGCTTTTGCTCACAAACCGACAGGTTACCAAAATCAAAAAATCCAAGCAAAAAGGAGTAGGAATGGATCTCAAGTTATCCAGTACTCAACTCAAGAAGCAAGGAGGGTTTCTCGGAGCATTAGCAGCTGGATTATTAGCACCAGCTCTGGGAAAAATGATAGGTTTAGGAAACACCGGTGAAGGATTACAACTTCCTGGAACACGGAGGGGTAGAGGGGTAAAAAAAGACCAAAAAGGAAAGGGGTTGCGTCTACCAGGAACGTGAGACCACTGACCAACTTTGACATTGATGAAATTCTGAGATCTATTCCACATTTCAGAGGAACTTTCAGCAAAGATCAGCTTCCACAACCTATATCATCAAAGGATTGTTTGGTAATCAATCTCCAAGATTTTTTGGATGGTGGTGGTACTCACTGGGTTTGTGTGTTTGGTAATGAATATTTTGACAGCTTTGGCTTATCACCACCAGAGGAGGTAGTCGGGTGGATGAAGAAGCACCATAAAAAATGTTGGTATAACTCATCAAAGATACAGATGAATGATAGTGTCCTGTGTGGATACTACTGTATACATTTCATAGAAGAAAGAAACAAAGGCAGAAGTGCTCTTGATGTCCTGTTGGATTTCACTCAGCACCCCAGTCAAGAAAATGAGCAGTTGGTATTGTAAAAAAAGGGGAAGAAAAAAAAGAGATAAAAAAGATAAAAAAAGGAAAACACAAAAACCTTTTTTTCTTTCACTAGTTCCTTTTTCTTTTTGGTATTCATTGTATAAGCATCATCAATTTTATCATTCACGGAGCTTGTGGAACATCGATTTTTCATGATGGGATTTGTGGTTTCTTGGATAAGACTTCTCACATTTCTCACAGACAACTCTTTCATTGGCATATTGTCTGATTTTCTTGTGATTATCTTGATACCACTCTGATACTGATCTTCCAGGCTTGTTTTTATTCACGGTATCCAGTTTTTCGATCCAGTATCGTTCTCTCCTCTTAAGCTCATCTTCATCAAACATTGACAGAGAGTCGATCTGGACAATTTCTACAGGTCCGAGATCAAGCAGAATGAATGATGTCACAAAATTATGATTACCTTTTTGATATGCTCTGAAAGTGGATCTATGAAGATACATCCGATTTTTCAGTGGTAGAGAAGTGGAGCCAACATATACCTGATCGGTGTGTTGGCTCACTAGTTTGTAAATCTTACAAGGGGAAGTCATCTTTGCTGATAGAAAATCTTTGGAATTCTCATCGGTATACCTCTACGTAACAGGGTTCATATAATCGTTTATGATGACAATTCGGTGAAGAAAATAAAGATAGATAGACAAACATGAAAATGTATCACATAATCTCCCGTGGGACAGTTGGGTTTGGATACTCTCTCTCCAACATTCCACATTTCCGTGAAAATATTCTGGGGGTGAGTTTGGAACTCACGAAAGATGATCAGGAGCATGACACGATCAACATCCACATATTTACCAATAATCCACAGATTTTTATGTCATTGACAAAGGCAGAGCTTGACAAAATGGATAATGGAAATTTCAGACTTGTTTGTGCTGAAAAGATTGATGAGAACATGGAAGATCACTGTGAAAATATGGGATTGTTGGTACATCTTTGTATCCATGAGAAATAAAAAAGTAGATAGATAGATAAAGATGAATGTTCATTGCCTATCGTGTAAGAAAAAGCAACAGATGAGGGGAATACAAGGAGAAGTCACATCAACTGGTCAACCATATGTCAAGGGTAAATGCTCAGTATGTGGTCGATCGTGTTCACAATTTATCAAGAAATCGGAAATCAGAGAAGGTGGATTCCTGTCTGGTTTGTTCAAGATGATAGGTTTAGGAGTAAAAAAAAAAAATAGATAGGAAATGGACTGACGATCTGGCTGATGAGTTACACAAACCAAAGCGTGTGAATTTCACTAGGAGACAAGTGACTGTGAGTGAGATTGATGAAATCTGGTCCGCCGATCTCGTGGATATGACAGCTTTTCGTAAATACAATGATGAAATCAAATTTCTGCTTACTGTCATTGATCTGTTCAGCCGATATGCTTGGGTTGTTCCACTCGAATCCAAGAAAGGTGTTGACATCCAATCAGCATTTCGATCCATCGTGAAAACTAGCAGCAGGAAACCACGTAAGCTGTGGGTTGATCAGGGTACCGAGTTCTATAATCGAACGTTCAAACACTGGCTTGATGAGAATCAGATCACGATGTACAGTACTCACAACGAAGGAAAGGCTGTTGTAGTTGAGCGTTTCAACCGAACTCTGAAAACCAGGATGTGGAAATACTTCAGTGCTAACTCCACCAGCAGGTACATCGATGTCCTTCCACATTTGGTAGAGAAGTACAACACGACAAAACACAGAGGTGTTCGGATGACACCAACTGAGGCATCACGGGAGAAGAACGCTGATCTAATCCGTGACTCACTGGGTGAGAAATCTCCACTATCCAGGTCCACTAAATTCCAGATAGATGATCATGTCCGACTGGTGAAGCAGAAACGACATTTCGAGAAAGGATACACTCCGAACTGGACTGAGGAGGTATTCAGGATCACCGATATTCTCCCGACCAGACCCACTACGTACTCTGTCAAGGACCTCGATGGTGAACCCGTTGATGGGTCGTTCTATGAACAAGAGCTCCAGAAAACTACTCAAGAAATCTACCGGATCGAGAAAGTGCTCCGAAAGGACAACAAGAAGAAACAAGCCCTTGTGAGGTGGAAAGGCTACTCGGCAAGATTCGACAGCTGGGTGCCGTTTGATCAACTCAGCTGGTTGTGATCACGGATCACAGCAGCAGATTTGTTGGTAGAAAAAAAAATCACGGGGTAGACCTAGTACTAACTGTCAACAGCACCGGATTCGGACTCTTGTCAGTACTAATAGACATAAACAACTCCATATGTGTTTGACCCCGATAGCCTGGTTGGTAAATCTACTACACACAGGATAAGAAATCGAGAGTCACGGGTTCGAATCCCGGAAACTGAGACCACATGCCACAATGCGCATGTCTGAATCCTGTTTCACAACAAGAAACTGAGACCACATGCCACAATGCGCATGTCTGAATCCTGTTTCACAACAAGAAACTGAGACCACATGCCACAATGCGCATGTCTGAATCCTGTTTCACGAAACTGAGACCACATACCACAATGCGTATGTCTGAATCCTGTTTCACAACAAGAAAATGAGAACACATGCCAATGAGCGTGTCTGAATCCTGTTTCTGAGAACACATGCCAAAAAACACCAAACCAAAACCGAGACTCGAACCCACGATCTTGTGATTCGGATTCACGGTCAAATCTATCCTATATTAGAGGGTAGGGATTATACAGTAATGCTATCACTGATTGAAAAAATCCTTGTGTAGTGTAAAGATGGAATTTGACCTAAGCAAACTCACCATCACCTATGATGGGAAGAAACTCCAGACTGAGAAACAACTCCGGTGGATTCACAAAAATTAGAGCAAAGAAAGAATCGGGAACTTCTCAAGAAACGGATTCGGAAGAATCGAAAGAGGAAACCGATTGTCACACCACCGTTCACAGTCTCAAAGTCAGTACCCAAAGGGATTCTGAAATCGTTCATCTATGAACCGAAAGAGAATCATCCAGATCTGTATATATTCTTTGATAGTATCAACATCCCACTGAGAACATTGATACAGAAAGAACTGGAAAATCTCAAGGGTGTGAAAGTCAGTCTGACATTACAAGTAGAAATGGAGAAAGGAGATGACACAACAACCACAGACACACCATACTTCAGGAGTGGACCAATGACAGTCACAGCATCTCATGAGATTGATGACGGTATTCGAACGGCACACTCACAAATTCATAGAAATATCGATAAGTGGATACAGAATGGATCAAACTGGCACATCAATCATATCGTCGGATTCTCCGTTGATGTAGCAGCATATCAGCCAATGAGAGGTAAATCCTACATTGATTTACCGAACGAGCTCAAGAAAAAGAAGGCAATCATCAATGTCAAGAATAAGGATGATAAATGTCTGATGTGGGCACTGCTCTCAGCTCTGTATCCAGCAAAGAAAAATAGTGACAGGGTAACTCAGTATACAGACTATAGCAACAAACTTGATCTGTTCGGAATCGATTTTCCAACACCACTGAGTCAAATTTCCAAAGTCGAGAAGCAAAACAGCCTAGCTATCAATGTTTTTGGGTATGAGGATAACGTGATCTATCCACTACTGCTGACAAAGAAAAGAGGTGAGAAAGTGATCAATCTTCTACTATACCAAAAAGAAGATCAGAATCACTACTGTTGGATCAAAGATTTCAGCAGATTGTGCTACGATCAGTCAAAGCATAAAGTCAGGAAATTCTTCTGTACAAGATGTCTCCAACCACACAACACAGAGAAATCCCTGAGCAATCATCAGGAGTATTGTGATAATGTCACTGGATTATCAGCACACATGGTACTACCAGAACCGGACGAAGATGGGAATCAACCAACACTGAAGTTCATTAATCATCACAAAATGCTACAATGTCCCTATGTAATCTATGCTGACACTGAGGCACTGATCAAGAAAATTGATGGAGTGAAAAGCCAACAAACCAGCCGGGATTCACAACATGTTCCTTGTGGTTTTGGTTACGTCGTGGTGCGTTCTGACGGAGTGATGACAAGTCAGTGTTTCTACCGGGGTGTTGATGCCATGGATGTATTCTTTGATAAACTCAAAGATGAGGAGAAGAAAATCCAATCAGCACTCAATAATCCAGCACCGATGGATCTCACTAAGGAACAAGAAGAATTGTTCAGAGAGACAGAGGACTGTTGGATTTGTAAAAAGAAACTTGGTGATGACAGAGTCCGTGATCACGACCACATCACTGGTGATTTCCGCGGTGCCGCACACAACGACTGTAACATCAAACTCAGAATTTATCCATACAAGCAGCACATCCCTGTGGTTTTTCACAACCTGAAAGGCTATGACAGTCATCATCTCATCGGAGCAATCGGAAAGACAGATGTTGAGACCGTCACATACACGGATAAGGATGGTGTGTGTAAGAGTAAAACTGTGGGTGAGATATCAGTCATTCCCAACAACATGGAGAAATTCATCTCATTCACATGGAGACAGTTCCGGTTCATCGACAGCTGCCAGTTTCTCAATGCGTCACTCGATAGACTGGTGAAAACGACACCAGATGAGTCATTCACTTTCACCAAGACGTTGCCAAACCATCAGCTGTTGATGAGGAAAGGAGTATACCCCTATGAGTACATGAACAGCTTCTCCAGGTTCGATGAGACTCAGCTACCAGCACAGAGTAAGTTCTATTCTTCTCTGTCTGATGAGGGGGTGAGTGACGATGACTACAAACATGCTGAGACAATGTGGATGAAATTCGACTGTCAGACTCTTGGTGATTATCACGACTTGTATCTCAAGACCGACGTGTTTCTCTTGGCTGACATCTTTGAGAATTTCAGAGTAGAAGCTGTCAGAACATATCAGCTGGATCCAGCAAATTACTACACTCTGCCTGGATTTGCCTGGGATGCTCTGTTGATGTACTCAGGTGTGTCCTTGGAATTACTAACAGACTATGATCAGCACTTGTTTGTAGAATCAGGAATGAGAGGCGGTGTGTCGATGGTCTCACAACGATATGCTGCTGCTAATAATCACTATCAGGAGAAATTTGATGCTGATCAGCCATCGTCATTTATCCAGTATCTCGATGCCAACAATCTCTATGGTTGGGCAATGTCACAGCATCTCCCAGTGTCTGATTTTCAGTGGGAGAAACCATCAGAGAAACTCCTGAACAAGATACTGAATACTCGAGTGTGATCTGGAATATCCACACGAACTTCATGAGAAGCACAACGATTATCCAGTTGCTCCGGAACGTCTTTCCGTCAATGAGGACATGTTATCTCCATACCAGCAGGAGCTTGTTGATAAACTCAATTCTTCCGGAGTAGATGCTCTCAAACTTGTACCAAACTTGAGGGATAAGACAAAGTACGTTCTCCATTACCGAAACTTGAAACTCTACACTCAGCTCGGACTACGTTGTGTCAAATTTCATCGTGCTCTGAAATTTACTCAGACACCGTGGATGAGAAACTACATCGAGAAGAATACAGACCTCCGGAAGAAGGCACAGGATGATTTCTCTAAGGACTTCTATAAACTGATGAACAATGCGGTGTTTGGGAAAACTATGGAGAACGTTCGGAGGAGAGTCAACATAAAATTGCTGAGAAGTCGTGAGGAGAAAAAAATCAAACAGCTTGTTGCCAAACCAACGTACAACCGCCATGTGATCTTCAACGATGACCTGGTCGGGGTACAAAGCAACAGGACAAAGGTCGTCCTCAACAAGCCCATATATGTTGGGATGTCGATTTTGGATCTCTCAAAGACACTCATGTATGACTTTTACTACAATCACCTGAAAGTGATGTATTGCTCTGATGTGAGACTCTTGTACACCGATACAGACAGCTTGGTTCTTCATTTCTTTACTGATGATCTGTTTGATGACATGAGTGAGTTTCTTGATAAGTATGATACAAGCAATTATGATCAATCACATCCGTTATATTCCGAGAAAAACAAGAAAGTTGTTGGCCTGTTCAAAGATGAACTCGGTGGGAAACTGATCACTGAGTTTGTAGGACTTCGCTCCAAGATGTACAGTTACTCTGGTGAGGAAAGTGGAAAAAGAGCAAAGGGGGTGAAAACAGCAGTGCTCAAGAAAACTATCACACATGATGATTTCCGAAATTGTCTCTTGGATCAATCCGTGTTCCATCGAGAAATGACAACACTCCGGAGTCATAGTCACGTTATTTTCGGAGAAACGGTTAATAAGATAGCCTTATCACCATTGGACACAAAACGATACATCACAGAAGATGGATGTAGCACGTTAGCGTTCGGGCACCATGAAATACCAAGATATCTGGCTGAGGAGGGGTTTGATAGCAGCATTTCATTCATGAGTTATGCTCCGGATATGATGAAGCAGTTTGTCCAGTGATCATGAGAAAGAAAAAAAGATATATATTTTTTTACTTTTCTTGTACATTCGATTCTCTATAGTTCTTCCATATGACATCAAGTCTTTGTTGTGATTTTTTACACTTTGGAATGAATGGTTTGATCTTGATCACATCATCTTCATCAGCAATGAGTTTTGAAAGTAGGAATGGGTAACTCACTTTAACTTTTTTCTCTTTATTTGCTACTTCCTTGATCCTCTGAATTTTATCAACAAGATTGTTGAATGAGGTATTGCTAAGATATTTTGGTAAACCAACCTTGTTCAGGGTTATCTCCAACCTTGTTTCGATTCCTGTTCTGGTTTTGGATTTTTCTATTTCTTCGAAGAAAGATGTGGTATCATACAGATCATTTTTCTTCATCTCATACACCTCAAGATCCTCTGGAGTTACTTCATTTTCCAAAATCATCAATTCTATATCCGTAAAATAGCAATGAAAAATATCAATTGTGCACTCATAACCATGTATAAACAATTAAAATGAAACAATTCCAGAACGTTTTCGTGTGACCATCATCAGTGGAACATCGTCACATAGTAAGAATCACTAAAACAACCAGTTATATAGCTAGAGTAATATGAAAAGAAGCGTGAGAATGCAGCACAGCTAGCGGTTATGCATAACGCGTGTAGTGTGAACCTTTGCAGTGTATCTGAGAATGGTAGCAGTAGATGAATGTGGCAGCTGTGAGTGCGTGTGAACAAAAACTGGTGAGTGCGTATTATTTAAAAAGTGTGAGTGCTACAACATTTTCTTTTTGCTTGCATAGAACAGGGTCACGTGTGCGAATATATACAGCTTCCAACACCTGCAACTGCTTAAAGAAACGCGCGCGACAAATAACACTAAACCAGGAATCGTCAAACAACTTACGACAATCCGGACTGGACACCAAATGCTTGTAGATGGCAGACTTGCTCTTGTCGATGTCGAACCCCTCCTCGTCCGTATCACTCTCATCCTCCACTTCCTGTTCCTGCTCACCCTTGCTTTCCTCCTGACCATCCTGTTCATCCCCATCATCTACTGCTACCATTGCATTGCTGCATCTACTGCTACCATCTACTGCTACCATTCTCAGATACACTGCAAAGGTTCACACTACACGCGTTATGCATAACCGCTAGCTGTGCTGCATTCTCACGCTTCTTTTCATATTACTCTAGCTATATAACTGGTTGTTTTAGTGATTCTTACTATGTGACGATGTTCCACTGATGATGGTCACACGAAAACGTTCTGGAATTGTTTCATTTTAATTGTTTATACATGGTTATGAGTGCACAATTGATATTTTTCATTGCTATTTTACGACTGTTGTCTCCTCGTCGGTTATCTATATCTGTAGGAAACCGTTTCTGGTTTCTATAGTCAATGTAGTCCGCTATCATCTTATCTTTCCTGGTGGAGTGTTCATCATCTATCCATGTATCCATCACTTCTTCTTCTTTGTTTGTGGAGTAGTCGTCATCAAACCACGCATCCATGATTTCACTTCTAAAAAAATATTTTTTACTTTTTTGTTTTTGTGAATTGTTTGACTATTTTTTACAAATCGTTTGCTGAGAATTTCACTTCTTCTTTCTGGAAATGCTTTATAGCAACAACAACAAGTTTGAGACTGAGAGTGTCATCGGTCTTGTCTTTGTAAACCCACTTCAGGTGAACGATACCATTGACGGTGTCACCTTGCTTGATCTTGTTGGTTTTTGATGGTTTGTTATCCTCATCAAAGATAGCACAATCAGGAGAAATCTGGAGAAACAGTATTGGGTGGTCACACTTTGCTGTGTTAATTCTGCTTCTAACCACATTTCCTTCGGATTCTATCTGCTTCTCGATCCGACGGATGGATTTACAAATGTCACTGTCAGAAGAAAATTTCAGAGAGTCCTCTTGTCCTTTCTTCACAACATTCATGATATTTGTCTCATCAGTGAATTTTATGTATGGTAAGTGGTTCCTTACCATTGATTGTCAGTGAACCACATTTATTCCCATCCTTGATTGTAATTCGACAATCAATGAAGTCATTGAGAATAGTAGCTGTGTCAAACGGAGTAGGTTTCTTGCTTGCCATCTTGGAAAGTTTGTGTAGAATCGTTGTTTATACCTATGACAACCGTTCCTCTAATACAGAATAATTAGGAATCCTCACCCAAAGATGAACCACCCGAAGTTGGCTCAGAAACCGACCCCACATCAGTCCTCGAAGTGAGCCAAGATGGGGTAAGTGAAAAAGCTCAAGTTGGCTCACTTTCGATTTTCTCGGAGACAGCAAGTTGACTCACTTTTCTGGAACGGGGTTGAGCCAACATGGGATCAGTGGCTGGAGTTGTAAAATTAGTACTTGGAGGTGTAAAATTAGTACTTGGGTGTATATCCTTTAGTATAGTAGTATAGGGGGAGGGGGAGACTTTGGAGGGAGGCCCTTCGGGCCGATCGACAAAGTCGATTTTGGCTCACCTGGAAGGTGAGCCAGAACCCCCTCCCCCTATACTACTATTATTGTAGTTGACGTTGATTTAGTGACTTTGACAAGTTTGAGTCATGTCAAGAAGTCAGGTAGGATTCAGTACTAGGCAGTAGTGGAACGTGAGTGGTAGTCTTTGCCGATTTTCAAGGGTATCCTGGATATGGTGTTCAGCGCTGTGGAAATGGCTTGCTGTGGATGTTGTATCAAAGGTACGACCTCGTAGCACGTGTTAAACCTGAAAAAATCTAAAATTGACTTGCGTCTGTGGGAGTCTGTGAGAGAACGCCCACTCGTGCCGTTGTGACAGATTCCAGAGCCACGTTGAGGGAGCACCCCCCCCCCCCCCCCCAGGGCTGCTTCTGGACTTTTTTTAGGTTTGGATCCCGCGCACGGACAGAATGGGCACGAAAATGTGAAAACAATTGTAAATGCATTTCTTTGGCTCCTGGGTGGCTCGCATACCGTGGCACTATGCCGGAATGTTGAGTTTTTTCCGGCCTGGAAAGCCTATCAGGGAGGCGCAAAACCTTTTAAATCTTGTCAAGAGGGCCAGCATAGTGGCAGGAGTGTGTGATGAAAAATTCACTCAAATCCATTGAGAAACACCAAATTTACGGTCAATTGAATGCCATTTGAAATTTATGGGTAGGCTGGTACCTTAAAGTGACCTATCCAGTGCTTCCACTGTTCACACTGTATATCACATGTTTGGAGGGTGTACACATCACATCCCACAGGCGGTGTGGTCTGCATGAACAATGTACTGGCTATTAACAAGAATTGCCTAAGGGATTATTGACTCACCGACTGCAGTTGGCATCAACAACATCCACATCCAAATAAGGATACGAACCGTCACGGCAATGGTGAGTTGAAGATCAAGTGAATTATTCCGGGTACAGCAAAAAAAATGAAAACAGTCACAGGCAATGGCAAAAAGACCTTCAGTAATCATTGTAAAGGTAATGAACAAAGCTAAAACAATTTCAGCTACCTTGAACATACTCAATCCCAATACTGGTCAAACCCTTTCTCTACGACTCTTCATAAAGTGAGCTATCCCTTGTCTTCACAATGCACGCTGTACAACACATGCTTTGAGATTGTACACGTCACATCCAAGAAGCGGCGTGGCTTGCATCACAAATATACTGAAGTTTATACTCATTTTAAACAGGGAGTGCACTAGGAAATATCATCTTGCTGCCTGCAGTTGGCATCACAAATATTTGGATCTAAACGGGGAGATGACTTAGTACGGTAATGGTGAGGTGTAGATTGAGTGAATTATTCCGGGGCAA